TACCTCCCACTATGTAGATGTATACTCCCATCTACTTGATGCACAAATCAAACCTGAACAGGAAAAGACACTAAGCTATATGTAACTAACCCAAATAATAACAATGTAGCTCGTGACGAAGTGTTAACACCTCCTGCCGTGCTTTTCGCGGTCTGCATTGCGCTCCGCCATGCGCACTAAGCAACATTAGTAATAAAACAAATACATTAAACATTGACAGTGCTCGCACCATCTAAAACACCCGCTCAGAAGGTAGTAGCAGGGGATCCAGAAAGGCGTCTGATATGTCCCGAGCTATTGTGAGGAACATTTCCGTCGCTTCCGTATCCGGTCGTGTTTTCTGGTCCCGCAAAAGCTTCAAAACCCGCTCGTCGGTCATCTTCAGGATTGATGTGTAGTTCATTTTATCCTTGCAATCAAGGTCAGCCTTCGTCATGCCATGATAGAACTTTCCTTCTGTTTTGATAATTTCTTCCAGATGCGTGATGGATGCATAAAAGGTCCCCATGACATAAGACTTTCCTTTCTTGCAAAAATTGGTCCTAATCTTCGCACCAACGTGAACTGGGACAGATTAGGGAATTGCTTATGTTGTCCGCCTAAATCGGTCTCCCAGATCGCTGTGCGTCGTCGCCCCGTCTGCAACAAAGAACCGACACACATGAAGCCTTCGCACACGCGGGCGGCCTTCAGGAGGGCGCGCGGTGACGAGCTCGGCGACGGACGAGAAGAAGGAGGATTCCCTCACCATCGTTGAGCGGATGACTCGGGCAGGTCAGCCGGCCGTAAGTCTTCCGCACGCTTAATGTCTTACGAAGGCGAGTCTTTGTATTATGGTGACAAATCTTCGTATTATGGTGCAAAACCTTCGTATTATGGCCGCTGCGCTCGCTCCGTAACCTACGAAGCCAAATTCTTTGTAAGTTACGAAGAAATTGACGTATTTTCTCTGTATTACAAACAATTTTCGCACCATAATATGGCTGCACAGCCTTTCTTCGTAAGAAATTAAGTGTGCGTAAGGTCCAAAATTTGAGTGTGTACGAGGGGCAGATCAGACAGCCGCACAAGTGGCACACAGTTCTTTTCCAGGGCAGCTTTCACCTTTTGTGATCTTTTTGGAGCTTAACCCCTTTGTAATTGTCTGCAGCCGATTTATTACCTGAGTCCTCGCACTGCAGGACCCATGCTACGGCTTGCATTATTCGAAAGTTGGCTGAGTTAGTGGGCCTTTGAGAGCTTGGGTCCGTCACTATATGGCAAAACGCTATATGTTCCCCGAGACTATGAAGGAACTTCATTGCCGACACTGGCACGGTTAACTCAGATCGAAATTCAGAAAGGGCAAGAATTTCTGGGCGTTTAATAGTAAATTCTTGAAAGATATTTCTCATATGAGCACACTCTGCCCATTCCATGAGGTTAAGTGTGTAGGTTGCCGCAGCACCAGTGGAGTCAGTCATATAAGCTCTTAAACGTAGTAGGTGACGCAAGGTAGCCCTAAACCTCCAAGTTGATGAAATCTTCATATACATCAACTGACAGAAATCAGCACTAGGGAGAAGACCCTTTAAGATCTCTTCCTTTGTGACAAGACCAACTTTAGCTTTTATCCCGCGAACGCGATTTTCTTTCCAAACATCATAGTTTTCTGAGTTGAGGCCCTTTGTAGTAAGTAATGAGCGTCAATAATGAAGCCAAAGCATGCACGTACCGGGAGTCAAAATCACTAATTGTGTCCTTCAGGACTTTGTATTTTGGTTGGACTGATGCTTTCATAGCAGTCCACTCTTTGGTCGAGTAAGTTAGGAGTTTGAAACCATGCTCTTCAATAGTCTATTCAAGTGCTGCTCTTCCCCCCTGTTCTACCTCAAGCAAATATGAGATAAAGATCCCTGCTCCGACCTCCTCAGTGTTTGCGACAGGAGTTTGCATCAAATGCAGCAACTTGACACAAATTTCCCCAGGAGGGGTGGTATCTCTGTTAAAGATTTTCAATTCCACTCCTACAATTGGTGCTTGAGAAATATTCCGCCACAGTGGTGCCTGCGAGAAGAATGTGATAGGATTAGACAATGACGCTGAAACATGAGTTCTCATATGGCGTTTTATACTAGAGAGGTACTGATGATAACTTACCGAAGGGCACCAGTCCGTTGTCGCGGCGTCGGTTTCCGGACGCCGTGAAAAAGTAGGCGGGTTGTCGTTCTCTGTAAAGACGCCCCGCCTCCTGGCACGCCTCCGCAGGCAATTCCATGTTGACATATGTGAAGATTGAGGCGCCATCGAGACACAGCTTTGTTGCTCGTCCCGTCGCTGTCTCAGGGGCTTCCATGGAAGCAACCACGTATAAGGTCAAGGACGGCAGCTCCGTCACGCGGCGATACTGCTGCCGCTGCGACTGCATTGAATACATTGAAAAGGAATCTATGTTTTTCGTGATAACCACAAAAAAAGGATCATTTTCGACTTCAGAGTTCACCAAGGGTCCCGTCCCCTCCTGGTAAACGTCCACTTTCAGCTCACGGACCTTGTCCCTACACTCTAAATATGGGGTGCCCAGAAACTGGGCGCCTTCGTCGCCCGCCCCACTTTTTAGGGTGCCAATTGTCGCCCTGTTCCTGGGCACCGTTGTCACCCAGTCTCAGGGTGGACAAGCCATTAAGAAACCTGCCTTCACCCATGGCTCAGCAGCGACTGAGGTGCCGAAGGTGCCCAGAATCTAGGCACCTTAGTCGCCCAGGATCTTGACACCTGAGCATGCTCTACTATGGGAGAGGGCCGGTTACTGTATGATTTGCCCACACCGAGACTGGGTGACAAAGGTGCCCAGAAACTGGGCGACATTTGGCACCCTAAAAAGTGGGGCGGGCGACAAAGGCGCCCAGTTGCTGGGCACCCCATATTTAGAGTGTAGCTTCTTCTGTGAGCTCCTTTTCGGCTTCCTTATAACTACTTTTGATGAGACTCAAAATTCTGAGTTTGTGGTTTTCACCAATCTTTGCCTTTGTCCGTGCTGTTTAATTTCCTCGATGTCCGCGTCTGTCAATTGGCTCATGGAGACTAAGCTCTCATACCAAAACAAAAAAGGATTATAACACTGTGCTAACACTATGCTGTACCACTGTTTGCACCATGTCACTATCCTGGCGACTTCAATTTCGCCTTGCCATTTTCACTTAAAAAGAAAAGTTTTCTTCGTCTTGGGTCACTTTGTCTTAGGGCGTTGGCTTCCTTTGTCCTTGCGTCACAATGGTGACTCTGGCGTCACCTTTTAGTTATTTACATTTCACAGTTCCTAGATCAGCATTCACAGATATTTAAATCACGTGCGGTGTAGGCGTCACCTGGGCCCATAACCTGTTGAAATTATCGTTCAACTTGGGAAACAATCTACACACAAAATGAAAGAAAAACATCAGGGCTTTAGAGCAGTCAAGGCACTGAGACTATCAGCACAAAGCCAGGTTAAGTGCACAGGAAACTTGTGGGTATACCCTCGTAAAACGAACAAATTAAAACTTGTATAGTTTTTATTAGTTTTTTAGTAAATTTTGTTAAATTTTAAAAATTGAATTAAATTTGACTGAACTTAAGTAATTTTAATTAATTTTCATTTGCAAAATTAAAATTTGTTAATTTTTGTAAGCTGCTTTGATTAAATCTTAAATTAAATTGAATAAATGCAGCTTACAAAGATTAACAAATTTTAGTTTTGCAAATGAAAATTAATTAAAAATACTTAAGTTTAGTCAAATTTAATTCAATTTTTAAAATTTAACAAAATTTACTAAAAAACTAATAAAAACTATACAAGTTTTAATTTGTTCGTTTTACGAGGGTACGTATATATCAATCTCTTCCTCCATAACAACTCATCATCCCTTTAGGAAGGACAATCCAGTTGCCTCATGTTTTCGGCCTTCCTAACATTGAACAATACTGCCTTATTCTTAAGTACTTCTTTAATCATAAAAAGTGAAATGGTTTCGTTATTTTCAAATTGTGACTTGAAATGTGTTTTAAGGAACTCAATTTGGTCGCCCTGCCATTGCTGAGAAGTCGAAGTCTTACGTGATTTTTGAGGTGCCCTTTTTTTTCTTGGTTCAGTGGAGACCATCTCGTCTTCAGAGCAGCTGATGTCAGAGAATTGTTCCTCCCACCTCTCCTCAGCAGGCACCTCATCATTGGGTTGATATGATGTATCCAAAGTAACATCAGCATGACGCAACTCATCACCATCATCCTTCTCCAGAATCAACTCATCATTCTCATCAACCTGGTCAAAATTTGTTGCTATAATATCGCCTAAGGAAGGCCTCGACGGTCCTCAAGATTCAGGTTCAGAAGTTGCGACATGGTCGCCACATGCTTCCTTAAGGATCTTGATGTGATGCTGGCAGGACACTCTACCTTGATGATACAGAATGAAGCTAAGAAAAATAATAAATTAAATTTTGATTGTGTATATATGGATTTTGTAAAGATTTGAATTTGGAATTGACTAAAGGGAAGGTAAAAATTGATTGTTGAGGCTAAAGGAAAATAATAAAAAGATTTTGAATGTATAAACTAGAAAATCTCCGGCTGGCAGTCCTCGCATGATACCCGGTTCATCATGATCTCGATATGGAAGTTTCTACCATCATACTTTTCCAAGAAAACCCACCCTTCCTTGGTGGGTATTCTCTTGTGCAGTGGGCTCCCCGGGTCCTCTGGCTGCCGACGCATAACACGCCACTGGGGCCCCTGGTCGCTGAATCCAACCTTCGACACAGCGGCTCCAGTAATGCGGTGCTGCAAACAAACATGTATATGATGTTATTTCCCCTCGACCGCAAGTCATTACATTAGAAGTAACACTCGACATAAACATTACTTACATACATTTCGGAACTTCCTCAGATAGTTCCTAGATCAGCATTCACAGTGATTTAAATCGCGTACGGTGTAGGCGTCACCTGGGCCCATAACCTGTTGAAATTATCGTCCAACTTGGGAAACAATCTACACACAAAATGAAAGAAAAACATCAGGGCTTGAGAGCAGTCAAGGCACTGAGACTGTTAGCACAAAGCCAGGTTAAGTGCACAGGAAACTTGTGCGTAACCTAAAATGTGACTTAAACTCCTCGTCCGTGTATTTTTGTACAATATTGTCAACAAAACCCTCAATTTGGGGTCTTTTAACAGGTGGGCCTCTCTTTTTAGTCAGACAAATTGCCCCTGCGAGAGCTTTGAGGATGCTCGCATCATCCTCGCTGCTCGACGATGAGTCATGATCTTCAATGTTTTCTTCTTCAGATGAACTTTCTGTCACCTCTCTGATAATTTGGAGCAGCGCAATAGACGATCTGGGATCCATCGCGCGGAGATCCACGTTACCAAGAGGTTAGAATTTTCCAAACAAACACGTACCGACGCTTACGGTCGGTCCGAAACGACGACTGCTGCAGGCACGCTAACAACCAGACCCATTCCCGCTGGTTTGTAAACTAAAACTGGCTTATTTTTTTTCAATTATTGCTTCAATTATTCAATCTTTGCTGCTCTTTGCTTGATTGTTCTCTTAGTGAGAACTAGGTCTTTGCAAACCGCACTACCGTTATCTCGGTTTTCTCTCTCTACTCTAGAAACTGAAGAGAGTGCATGGCATGCTCCTCCTAGGAGTCAACCGCAAAGCCGACTCTTCCCAAGAGCATGCTTGCAAGCCGACTCTTCCCAGGAGCATGCTTGCAAGCCGACTCTTCCCAGGAGCATGCCTGCAAGCAAGGAGAGTGCTTGCGATCATGCTCTTGGGAAGAGTGTGCTTGCCAAGCATGCTCCTGGGAAGAGTCGGCTTGCAAGCATGCTCTTGGGAAGAGTCGGCTTTGTGGTTGACTCCTAGGAGGAGCATGCCATGCACTCTCTTCAGTTTATAGAGTAGGGCAGGGGACTGGATGCTAGCAAAGATGTCCTTAGCAGACACACCCAGAGCAATTTGGTTGTTGATGAACGAATTTGTAGCTGTTGTTGCAGGTTGATGAGCAAAGTCATGAGGGGTTAATAGATGATTGTGAGTGGGAAAGTAGTAGACATTTCTTGAACCAGCATCACAAATCTCTTCCACTATTTTGGCAATACATGTCAAATCCTTTTTGATTTGGCCAATACTTCTGCTCCTGCTGGACTTGTGGACTGCGTCATCTTTCTTCCTATAAATTCGACTTGATCCATCATGTTGAAAATAGTAATAGTTTCGAGAACCTTTCTGACCACAGTTCTTCGAAAAATATGAAAAGGCTTTCTCTTGTTCTTTGTCTTTCCAAGAGGTAAATTCTGCTTCCGAGCTGAAGTTCATGTGGCGTACTGGTTCAATGGCACTTCAATGAGATTTTTTCAGATGTTCTCATAAGACCCATTTTGTCCCAAAATTCTTGACTGCAGTCTTTCATGAGGCAAGAAATTTTTCTCTTCTTACTTGAAACACCAGGGTTGCATTTCTTCATATGGACAGTGAGGTTGTCCTTCCTAGAAAATGATGAGCTACAGTCAGAGCAAACAAACTGATTTTCACAGCGGTTGGGCCTTTACTTGCAACTCTTGAGGTGTCTTCTTACATTGTCCAGGGGTTGAAATGGAATCGACAGCAGTGTCTGGAGTACAGTCCGGCGCAGCAGGAGCAGGCTGGGGAAGTGCTTATGCCCTCAGGCGAGGACAAAGGAGCTCCTGAAGATCCATCCTTCAAACAAAAATAGTCACAGTTCGGCACACCTAGGCTGCATGTCCTGTATGCCTTGAATTCACATGTGCACACAACCTTCAAAATTGTGGGTATTTAGTGTGTAGCTGCTGACAAAACATAGGAGCTACTTACTGTTTAGATGATTCAGCAGACATTATTGTTCACTTCAAAATACAGTAAAGAAAAATATAAACAATAAACCAAACACACTTCTCAATCTACGGACACTTCTCACGAACAACGACAAAGCCAGAGCTTGCGGATGAGGTGCTGAGAAGTTATGTAGGGAACCCGTCAGTGAGTGAGAGGGAGAAGGCAGCTGAGAAAGGTACAATCGTATCCAGCAGCATTTCTCAACAAATCAAATAGCGTCCACTATATGCTCCACCTGGAGCATACCTGACCTGCAAGCACGCTCTACCTAGCGCATGCCAGCCAAGCATGCGCTTACTAGTGCGTACATGCCAAGCACACGCTTACTGAAGCATGCGCATTCTTTCTTCTTGTGTTGATTCAATTTTATCTATTAACAAAGTCATTTCATCTGTCATTTTTCCATAGGCAGTCATAATTCTCTCATCATTTTGAGCTTGCAGCTCAATCCGCCGCTGCTCATTGGCAGCCTGCAAAATTGCTGCATCCCCTTGCTTTTGTGCAGCTTCTGCCTGCATTTGTCCAGCATCAGCTTGCTTCATGGCTGCCTCTGCAAGAAGCTGCAAAAATATAAGACACAAATTAACAAACTTTTGGTTGAACTTTGATATTAAATTCCATGTCACTCATGTAAAGTAAATTTACCTGCATCGCTGCGGTCTGGTTCCCACACAGCTCCTGAAAATTTTTCCTCGCAACCTCTAATTGCACCCCGATCCGTTCTTTGCCAGGATTTTTTGGGTTCTTTGGCTTTTTGGGAGTTTCTGTTTCTGTAAAGTAGTTGTAATGAAACAAAAGGAAGAATAAAAACTTAACTCCACTTGCAGCTGCTGTTAATTCACGTACTGGTTTGAGATGCAGTCTGTTTGTTGTCTTCTCAAAAATGTTTGACTGCCACTCGTGCTGCAAAGACGCGTCTGCAAAGACACTTATTGCACAGAATGCACGGCGAGGCCGGGCTGCACCGGCACGCGCCCTTGCCGCAGCCACAACACGGCGTCAGGTGGCGGCCCGGCACGCCTTCGGTATTGCAATGTCAGCAAGGCATTGCCCTGATCACTTGTCATACACGTGCACTGCTCGCTGTCACCCACTTGCGGCACTGCTCACTGTCACGCACTGGCACTGCTCCCTGGAAGAGAACTCCTCCTCCTCATCCAACTCTTCATTGCTTACATCCACAACAACTTTATCCACCAGTGGGCCTCTGAGATTGCTCGTTAATTCACCATCATCACTTTCTGTATTCCGCCCCTAGATTTGCAGGAAGTCAGATTAGTGATAATGCTGGTCTTCAATGCCGCAACAAAGTGACCAACTGTGGGGTCGTCACAGGATCCGCCATTGTTTCGAATGACACCAAACAAATTTTCCAACGGACCCTGATTCAGTTGGCGCAGGTTGAGAATTTTAAAGTCATATTCATGGTGCAGGGTATTCCATAAATGTTTAATACTGTTCATGGTGAGAATGTAGCCACCTTGACATGGAACTCTCTTTCTTTTTCACAGTGCCAATAAGCTTGCCATACTTCCAGAATTCAAGATACGTAGTTCATTTTTTCCTTCATCTTCGCCCACACCTTGAAATGGAAACTGCTGGCAGACACATTTTCTGTGCTCCCACCAACACCGAACTCGATGGTGGTTTTTGTTGTTCAGATGATTCGTTCGGCATGTTGAAAACGGAATGGTTTGTCGCTCGGCTTGGAACGATGATAAATCGATGCAACATAAACACGAGGTACCATCAACAAGAATCCCCACTGACTCGAAAGGGCCAGCACGCACCGACCAGTGTGGCATTCCCTCCGACCTCGACTCGTACATATGAGGAATTGCCTCTTACTCTACTTATGAGAAAGTGCCCCTACAACAACACCCCTCCTCAATTTCACGAGTATCCCCAGTGCCTCGTGAAAAAATCTGACGACCATGGCGGACGTCTTCCTGGAGAAATGAGTCGACTCGTCCACCAGAACCGAAAATTTTTCCTTCTTCAGAATAGCGGCCAACTCCTCCGTCTGGCACCAGCCAATTACTCGTGGAATAATTCTCCCGCACTTGGTCCTCTTCATCCGCGTCCTCTTTAGGATTTCACAGTCAGGGAACGCGGATTTGAGCGTCGGTAGCAGGTGATCAATCAGCTGAATCGGCATGTTGTGCGCCGCGAGGCACGCTGCCAGCTTGACCTCAGCGGTGCCAGCCACCTCGCTTGACAAAGCAACGTTGCGAGATGTCCCTTTCCATGCCATCGCGCGGCATCTTGCATCCATTTGAACTTCTACTTAATCATGAGTTTAAAGAAGGCAAAAAATGTGTTTTGTCACTGCCGAGGACCAGAAGTGCGTCCACTCATTTTGCCGAATGTGACACTGTAGTTCGTGGCCTCTAAGTGTCACATAAGTTGCCCGAAAAGTACTAGCTGCCTGCATTTGCAAGAACCTCCTTGATTGTATCATGAGTGAGAACCTTGTAAAGAATGGTTTCACCAAAGATGGACCCAATTTTCCTTTCACAGTTTGTCACTTGACGTTTTCCCGAGTAAATATAGAAGGCTGCAGAAAGGCTGACGCATAGCTGACGCATAGCTGACGCATGGCTGTATGGACCGTTTTTTGGCTCCGCCTTTGAGAACAGAATATCAAAACCTTTGTCTTTTAACCTTGACACTGCTATCAAATAAATTATAAGGCAGATCCAGCTCAATTATAGGTACATTTTCAAAACATAGATCAAGAGTTATACCATTTACAATCACTTGAGCCTGTACATCTCTAATCTCGTGTCCCGTTATAAACAATCTACGTTAAGCTATTTGAATCCTCCTGGGTTTCTCCAGTCGACGTTATTGGGGATGTTCTTCAGTGATGTTCTTTGGGATTTCCCATTCCTGCAGTGTGGTTTCCATGAAATCCGTCAGATTTCTGGCACTATGAGACTCGTCAAATTCTATGCATCTCAAAGTGGCGCTGATGAGCACCCAATCAGGCATTACAAACTGGAGCGTAACTCCAACAAAAGGGCCCTTAGCCCTCGACGTCTACCCGTCCATAGTCAGACTGGTGAAGTCAGCTGACTTCAGCGACTTCAGAGTAGTTACTGTTTGATTATACATACGCGGAATGAGCGTTTCCGCCATAGCTCTTCTTCCAGGACAGGCTTTGCTTATGCCCGGCCTTAGAACTTCTATCATATGCCAGAATGGCTCAGTATCAAGAAGTCTGTACGGTAGAGCTGAGATGGCAATTAAGTATTGCAGTTGTGCATTTTTCTGGTGACTTCTTATCCATTGTCCTGAGGTCAAAGCACGTTTCTTTGCTGTTTGGAGTACTTGAGCCAGCAAGTGCATATGAAGTCTGAACGGCAAGTGGTCACCACAGTGGTCACTTTCACCGTCTTGAGATCCGGTCAGAGAACGATCCGGTGAACAACATCCCGTCGGTCAGCAGTCTGCAGTGAATTCGATTCCCTCCCTAGTCTCACTGGCTGGCACTAGGATCTGCCCGCTGTGCATCACGTCTTGTACTTCG